TGCCTCGGCGCGGGGATAGAGAAGACTTTGATTAAAAAGAACATCCATTCGCCTCCAGATACCTTTGCCTTTAAGGGTCTTACAGTGGGTGTTGATTTAAGATAAATAAGTAAAATATATAGTTGACAGAGATAAGTGCTAAAGGGGAAAAAATGAAGAGGAATGGGGTATAAGAAATCCTGTGGTTTAAATGTGTCTGCCAAAGTTCAGGTGCTGGAAACTTATTCTCCAGTGTTGAGAGATGGGACCTTTAGGAAGAAATTAGGTCAAGAGGGCTCTGCTCCCATAAATGGATTAATGTCATTATTGCGGGAATGGATTTGTTATTGTGAGGGCGGGTTGTCACAGCAGCAAGGTCAGCCCTCTCTGGCTCTCGCTTGTCACATGGTGCCTTCCACCATGTTATGACACAGCAAGGAAGCCCTTACCAGATGTGGCCGTGTGATTTTGGACTTCCCAGCCTCCAGAACGAAGAGCCACATAAATTTCTATTTATTATAAATTACCCAGTCTCAGATATTCTGTTGTAATCATAAAATGGACACAAGAAGAAATCATTTTTTAAAAATTTTTTTGGAAATAGGGTCTTGCTCTGTCACCCAGGCTAGAGTGCAATGGCACTCACTGTAGCCTTGAACTCTTGGGCTCAAGCAGTCCTCCCATCTCAGCCTCTAGAGTAGGCAGAGCTAACTACAAGTGTATGTCACCATGCCTGGCTAGTTTTTAAATATTTTGTAGAGATGGGATCTCGGTATGTTGCCCAGGCTGGTCTCAAACTCCTGGCCTCAAGCGATCCTCCCCCCTCAGCCTCCCAAAGCACTGGGATTACAAGCATGAACCACCATGTCTGGACTCTCATTTTGACAGGTCCAATCTAGCTGTTGTGTTTTGAAAAAGGAGAAATGAGGAGATATGTAAGAACCTTTTGCAATAATCTACATGAGATGATGGCCTAGAACAGGGAGAAGGCAGTCGGGGTAGTGAGAAGTGGTAGAATTTTGGATATATCCTGAAGGTAGTGCTTGCTCAACAGATGGCTGCAGAGTGTGAAAAATAGACAAATAAAGGATGACTTTCAGAGCTGCCATTAATTGTTACGGGAAAGACTGCAAGATGAGCAGGAGTTCTGAAATGTCAGGTTGAGATGCCTGTGAGACATCCCAGTGGAAATGTCCAGAAGACAGTCATCAGCATACGCACAATGAGCCATAAGGCCAGATGAGATCACCAAGGGAGTGAGTGTAGAAAGGGAAGAGGTCCAAGGGCTGAGTCCTGGAGCATTCCAAGGTTAAGAGGTAAGAAGTCAGAGAACAGAGGCACTGGAAAGAAGACAGAAAGTAGTTAGAAAGCTGGGACTGGGAAAGAAGGAAAAATAAGGGATTGATATAGATTTGGGAAGTGCTGACAAGACTGAGTTATTAAAAGTTGAGAATAGATAATTCCTCAGATTGCAAACTTTATCAGAAAGAAGAAGAAGGTTAAAAATTGTATGCTAAGTATTAAAAATGTCAAGGATAGGCGGGGCACAGTGGCTCATGCTTATAATCCTAGCACCCTGGGAGGGTGAGGTGGGAGGACTGCTTGAGGTCAGGAGTTCGAGATCAGCCTGAGTAAGAACCAGATCCCGTCTCTACCAAAAATAGAAAAAATTAGCCGGGCATGGTGGCGCGTGCCTGTAGTCCCAGCTACTTTGGAGGCTGAGGCAGGAGGATTGCTTGAGCCAGGAGTTTGAGGTTGCTGTGAGCTAGGCTGACACCACTGCACTCCAGCCAGGGCAACTGAGCTAGACTCTGTCTCAAAAAAAAAACAGAGTCAAGGACAGAGTTTCTTTTTTGTTTGTTTGTTTTTAAGGATAGAGTTTCAATGAGAGGAATAATCAAAATAAAAATACCAGAGAATTACCAAAGAGAATAACCACTGGGTGTCTTTAGCAATCACCCAAACAAAATCACAACATTAAAAATTCAAACCAGGGAGGAGAGGGGAGGAAAGGAGGGGAATAAACCAACCTAATGGGTATGATGAACACTATTTGGGTGACAAGCACACCCATAGCCAGGACTCAAGCATTACAAAAAAAAGATCCATGTAATCTGAAACATTTGTACCCCCCTTAATATTTTGAAATTAAAAAAAATAAAAATGCAAACTCAAACCATATTCAGTGCCAATTCCTAAAGCCCAAATAGATTCTATAAATAAGAAATAAGAACATATATATTTCTCCACTGTTTAGCTGTGTTTAACAACAACCTAGCAGCTGGTTCTATGACTAAACAGATAAATGACATTTCTCACATCACAATTAAACACTGTTCTAAAATAATGGAACATACACAAAATAGAAGTACAGAAATTATAAAAGGCAGAAAAGAACAAAAATAAGCAATTAAAAAAAACATCAGCTACTCAGGAGGCTGAGGTAGGATCGTCTGAGCCCAGGCATTCAAGAGCAGCCTGGGCGACACAGTGGACAACACCTCAGAAAACTAAACAAACACGCAGGAAGTCACGAAAGGATCCTAGAGAGCACATGTTTCTTAAGGCTTATTTCAATTATTATGAAGCTTCGAATTCTCACAATCCTGAAACAAACATCATTTAAGTTTTTAAATAACCTATTTTTTCCACTTGAATAGTAATACAGTAATACATGTATCTAAATATAGAGCTATAAAATATATTTTATTATATTAAGAAAAAAGCATAAGCTGATTAGAGCAAATTTAGAATATAAGGAAAGTAATTCTATCACCCAGAGGAAACTACTACTTAAACCATTTAAAAACATGGCTTTCAGAAAGGATTTTCACCAAATGCTAAGAACTGGGGGTAAGAAAAAAACCAACTTGTCAAACTGGTTAAATGAATAGTCAAGCTCTAATGTTTTACCTTTCTATTTAGAGTTAGGAAGTAACATTTCACCCACCCAGGAATAAAAGTGTATTTGCCTTATAGGTGAGGCTGGCTCAAGGGTCACAAATATCACACATGTAATAAACATTTATTTTCCCATGGGGATTCAATAAAATTATTTTCAACTAGAAAAACAGGTTTTAGCTTGACCTGCAGGGGCAAATATTTGAACTGAACAGTGTAGATTAATGAGTGCTACTGGAGAAGTAACATGAAGAAATCTGGAATGAGGGAACCACCACCCATTGTCCTAACGCATGGGCACCTTGTCCTGAAGGTGCAGTAATATACCTAGTTTCACAAACGGACCACACTGCGATAGCGTTTCTACTTTACACTTGGCACTGCAGTGGCTCCTATTTCTCCTAGGGTGCTGTGTATTTACAGAATCTGATGGGCTGCTCAGTTCACAAAGTACTAAAAATAATGATGTAATGACAAGCCTCTTGACAATGCTACCTTACTGTGCCTTGTTTAAGCTTCACATACATAATAAAGTAGAGCTCTGCTTCAGAGATGTCAAATATAAGCAACTATCCTACTGGTAAATGCAATTTGGCAGTATGTGAAAAGCCTTACTATATGTGAAGGAAACCAGAATGTGTCACTCTAAAATATGCCTCTTTGATATAAAAATTATTATTGAGCTGAAGGCAACTAAGAAGTAGCAAACAGAAGAAAATCTCTCTCTATCCCACTCTTTTCTGCCTAAAGCCAGGAAATAACTTCTCTTTTACTGGAGACAACTCTATGACTCTACCAGCCTACAGACAGCACCAGAGGAGTCTGCAAACAAACCTTACTGCATTAGTTTCCTCCTTTCCCACGGTTTCCCATTCTTGAAAGCCTAAACTCTTTCCTTTGTCCTGCCATTTTCCCACAAATGTGTCATTCTTTGTTGAAGACGCTTTATAAGCCAGAGTTCTAAGCCATTGTTTGAATAACTTTATAACTTTCATCGAGGTTTCTTCCACTCGATGTGTGCTGCATGCATTAATAAACTTGTTTGTTTTTCTCTTGTTAATCTGTCTTTTGTTATAGGGGTCCCAGCTAAGAACTCTGAGGGGTTAAGGAAAAAAATATTTTTCCTCCTCAACAACTGCATACAAAGAATGTTTAAATATTGTTTATAATAGCAAAAAACATATCAGCAACTTAAGATTCCAACCTAAGATTAAACACTGGTACATCGCCACAATGGGTTACTGTTTAACCCATAAATATTTTAAGATAAATACATACTGGTATATTCATACTGCAGTAGTGAAAACCGCACATACGAGGGGATCCCATTTCTGTGAGAGTGTATGAAATCTAACTGTGCCAGGTGTCACCATCCTCTGAATGTCATACTCTGCTTCTTCCAGTTTATGGCACAAGACTGGATTGGCTTGAATGCTAGCTTATGGGTTCCTTCGAAGTCTCCCTCAAGTTATCTCTGAATGTCCTGAAAAAAGGTGTGTCACACGATAGCCACCAGGTCTGTCAACTGCACTCGTCGTGCAGAATCTGTGTGTCTGCTGCGACTCTCCCTGCACCTCACCACCGCCCAGGGCCACGTGGAGAAGCTTCCTCACTGTCCGTCCCCAGTGCACAGGCTAACGTCAGAGCCAAAGGAACGAACTCCACAGGCACCTAACGCTTCCAAACCTGGGAAGAACGGCCTCCTCTCACTCAGAAGTCCCCAGGCCTGTCGACGCATGCAAGCGGACGCTAAGCAAAGGAAAGTGGTTTCCAGGGACGCCCGCCCAGAGTGCCCTGTTACACGCCTGTTTGCCAAGAAAAAGGTCTTGGAGGATACACACACGCAAATTTGTCAACAGTGGTTATCTTTAAGTATCTGGACTTTTTTCCTTATCTGCGATTTTATAATTTTCTTCAATAAATCGGGTTTGTTTTTGAGGCAGGAAAAAAACCCTCAATTTTTGAAGCTAAAAAGCAAAATATTTAAGTAGCAAATACATTACTGAGAAACATTTCCTTAAAGAGCAAACTGTAAAAATAATTTCTGACAAATATTCACAATCATCTGGCCTCTAATCTGCGCCCAGCGCCAGCCGCCCTCCTGGCCCGTGGGCACTTACATTCCTGAAGACATTCTGTGTCGGTGCAGTAGGACTGGGACTGCCGCAGCTACAACGAATGAGAAGAAAGACAGTCAGCTGTTGGATCTAACCGGGAGTGGACGATCATTACAGAAAGGTCACGTTTTGTTTTTAATAAACGCTACCACATTACATATTGTACCTTCAAAATCTGATACAAACACAGGATACCCTGAGGGACCGTCTACTTTTTTTCTACTCAAAATAGTTTTCAAATACAACGTGATCTGGTGTAGTTCACCTATTTAAATTAAGGAATAAAAAAAAATCACCCACGACAGAAACTCCCGCTGCCATATGTAATTAGGCTTCCCAAAGGAAAAGTGCTAAACTGTAGAGAACTAACTGGAAAAAGAGTAAACACCTTTGTTAATGAGATTTTTCTTCTCATTGAAAATTAGAAGCAGATAGAGAAAACACAGGTTCTATTTGTAAAAAAACTGCACCTTTGAAAGGAAGAAATATAATTTTTTCTTGTATCTGCATAAGCAAACAGTAATTGGATAAATAAGAAACAAATAAAAGGAGTTAGCACAAGGGGTGGTGGTGGGATAGAAGAGTAGAGAGACTGTGACAGAGATGAGAGCTAAATTTTTCAATGTCTGTATTTTCATATAATCTGATTTTTGAATCATGTGGTTATCAATCTTAAGAAAAAATTAAAAAATAAAAAAAGCCCATATTATCAATAACATAAGGTCATTCACACATGTCTTTTTTTTTTTTTTTTTCATAGAAACAGGGTCTTGATGTTACCCAGGCTGGTCTCAAACTCCTGGCCTCAAGCAATCATCCTGCCTCAGCCTCCCAAAGTGCTGGGATTACAGGCGTGAGCCACCACGTCTTGCCTAGGTCATCCTTTTAGAAATGTATGCTGAGGCCTTTTAGGATGTTTAGAAATGAAAATCTCATAAATCATAAAATGGTGACAACTAATAAACGAGAGGCACACAACTTCCCAACGCGGTCTCATTGCTCATCGCATCTTCTCTCCACGACGCCACTACGCGGGAAAGCAACTGCGGGGCGGGTGTGCGCGGCTGGTTCAGCACAGGCTCTCCAGAAAGACAAGCCTAGATTCAAAGTCTGGCTCTGTGACTTTCTAGAATTTCAATACCTCTAATCTTCAGTTTCCTCATCTGGTAAAATGGGGATATAATGTTACCTTTATCTCACAGTTCTAGTGAGAATTAAACAATACATGTGAAGTATAGTTCGCAACCCAAGGCGTGTTAGCTTTTATTGCTGTGCCACACATTTTATGGCCTCATCTAAACAATTATTGTAATTAACAACTATACAAATCATTTTGTAAATTATTCTCTAAGATGATCAGGTTTGCTCTGGTATATACCACTAAAAGTAATTCTATTTGAACTAGAATGAGAAAACAGACCTTAATATAAAGTATGTTGTATATCTCAACCCTTTCTAAATAAGAAAGGAATCAATCCATAAACTCTTACTAAAATTATACATTCTAAAGAAATTTTTAAAAAAACTATTATGCCCTTAAGTCACAAAACAGACCCAACAAACCCCAACGAATCTCTTAGTTTGCATGTATTTTGTTTAAGTTTTATGTTTTCCCTATAAGTAATATGTGTACATGTACAAAATCTAGAAGTACGAAAGGATATTCCGTGCAAGGTGAATCTCCCATTCTCTCTTTCAGCCTCCCTGGCACTCAGTTTTTTGGTGATTTTCCAGAGATGGCCTTACATTTTCACAAACATGTATACATTTTTTCCCCATTCTTTTCCCACTTCCAAGTAGCATTGTAGAGAAAGTAAAACAAAGAGATTCATTAGGTTAAAAGGTCTGGGGAACAAATAAGAACTATTTCATCACTTAGATATCAAATAGGGAATAAAAATAATTTTCCTACTGAATTGATTATTCTGGGTTTAATCTTTAGCAATGATATAGCAGATTTCTAAATTTACAGATGAAATGTAAATGACCAACGAATCATCAGCTCTTTGTACCAAGCGCTGCCCTTGTCTTGAGGTCTGACTTGCTGCCTGGCTGTAGCTCAATGATATTTATGAATAATATGATTTCTGTGTGAAAAGCCCCCCGATTTTTATATATCCATTTCCTTACACATCCACTTCCAGGAACTGCCCATCGCCAGCCCTGGCTCCTTCCCCACGCCTCCACTGGTCCGGTGCTTCTCTCCCAGATGCTCACCTGCGCTTCTTCGTCCTTTGTTAACACCCAGGTCTGGGTTTCACCCATACCCCTGCAGTCAGTGGGGTTGTGGTCTACAACAGGGGTCACCAAACTGCAACCTCTAGGCTAGATGCATGTTTTCATAAATAAAGTTTTACTGAAACACAGCTGCACCTGTCTGTTTACATATTGTCTATGTGGCTTCCAATACCAAAGCAGAGCTGAGCAGTGGCCACAGAGACCCAAGCCTACAATATTTACTATTGGCCCTTAAATCAGGGAACACTGCTAATAATGATGCCCGGTTAAAGATACGGAGGAATTACCCACGAGGTAAGACAAAAATATTTTTGTCAAGGCATAAAAAAAATGTTCATTTACAGCCGGGTGCGGTGGCTCACGCCTGTAATCCTAGCACTCTGTGAGGCCGAGGCAGTAGGATTGCTCAAGGTCAGGAGTTCGAGACCAGCCTGAGCAAGAGTGAGACCCCGTCTCAACTATAAATAGAAAAAAATTAGCCAAACAACTGAAAATAGAAAAAATTAGCCAGGCACGGTGGCGCACGCCTATAGTTCCAGCTACTCGGGAGGCTGAGGCAGGAGGATCGCTTGGGCCCAAGAGTTTGAGGTTGCTGTGAGCTA